CTAGTAATAGTTATCACTAGTAAAAGTTATCACTGGTAATGGTAATCACTGGTATTAATTATCATTGGGATAGTTATCACTAGCAATAGTTATCACTAGTAATAGTTATCACTAGTAATAGTTATCACTAGTAAAAGTTATCACTGGTATTAATTATCATTGGGATAATTATCACTAGCAATAGTTATCACTAGTAATAGTTATCACTAGTAAAAGTTATCACTGGTAATGGTAATCACTGGTAAAGGTTATCACTAGAAACAATTATCACTAGAAACATTTATCATTGGTAATAGTAATCACTGGTAATAGTTATTATTATTAACATTAATCACTGGTAATAATTATCACTAGTAATAGTTATCGCTGGTAATAGTCAGCACCAGTTATCAAAAGTAACAGTTATCCCTAGTAAATGTTACAAACAGTTATCACAATTAATATTTTCAAATAGTTGTCAAAATAATTGTCGCATACAGTTATCACCAGTGATAGTCAGTACTGATTATTACTAGTAATAGTTAGTACTAGTTATCACTAGTAATACTTATAATAATAATAGTCGCAAACAGTCATCATTATTAGTAGTTAATTCTAGTTAACTAATAATAGTTTCAAGTAGGTAGTACTAGTTAACTAGTAATAGTTTTAATTAGGTAATAGTAGTTAACTAGTAATAGTTGCAACTAGAAAGTACTAGTTAACTAGTAATAGTCGTAACTAGAAAGTACTTGTTAATTAGTAATAGTCGTAACTAGGAAGTAATAGTTAACTAGTAATAGTTAACTAGTAATAGTTAACTAGTAATAGTCGTAACTAGGAAGTAATAGTTAACTAGTAATAGTTAACTAGTAATAGTTAACTAGTAATAGTTGTAACTAGGAAGTACTAGTTACCTAGTAATAGTACTAGTTAAAATCAGTTAAAAAAAGTAATAATAATTTCAAATCAGACAATGCGAAACAATGACTCGAAATTGACTCAATTTATTGTTCCAACAATAGGGACAGTACTTTATGCAGAAAATTGATTCCATTAAAAATCGAAATCAATGTGAATCCTCTTTCTATTTATAATAAACTCGAAACGAATATATATGATTTCGAAGCAGAACATGGTGGTTGAGAGAAGAAGAATTTTCTTTCAGAGATATGTATATATTACTATTTCAATACTGATCCCTTTACTCTTGCTTCAATGATCCTGCTCCGTCTTGTAAAAACCGCGATGCTTACACTAGAAAAAGTATTTCTCAGTTATTTCACTCACTTGAACCGGTAGGGTCACTGATACCATTTGCTTTTTAGAGTTCACTGAATATGTTACACACACTTTTATGTATATATACATACAATATATATATATATATATAGAAAATATGTATATATATATTTATATAGCGAGATATGCGCGTCGATTCACACCGATGTATACATATATGTAAAATTGCCCGCAATATAGACTTTCAAAAAAATATTCTCAAGAGATATTCTTATATAGATATATATATGTATATATAATATGATCAAAAAAAAGAGAAAGAAAAAAATGAAGAAAAAATACATCGTTTGATATGTTGGTACGTCGACTTGATGCCCTCAAATAACCCCTAAAGAATTCTTGACTTGGTGGTGGACCCTTTTTATATGATTCCAATTTATGAGAGAGCTTTACCAAATCACCCCTGGAGAAATTCGAAAATTACTGCTGAATATTTTTCGTGTATGGCCTTTAAATGAGATAGCAGCTAAGGGGTGATTTCAGTTTGATTTAGATGTGAGGCGGAGAGCGAGAGAGGGGGGTGACAAATTTATTTCATTTCCGAATATATCACTATAGTATTTTTGCTTTATCTCATAAAGATTATCGCTAATTTTAATTCCCTTCAACTAATGGGAATTAAGTTGGGAATTAAGTAAACTTGATATAGTATAACAATCTCTCACTTCTCTAATGTCATAAAGTGTGATCAATTATTATTTATTATTTTTTATTTTGGGATTATTGAAAAATTATTGGCGGATGGTTTCTCGTAAAAATATTTTTGAAAAATAAAATATTTACGTAATGTATAGAATCGAATATTGTCTAAATATTTTTTTATTTTATATAGATTTTTGTACTGATTTTTTTATTGATTTTATTGTTTAAATTCTAGGGAAAATTTTTCTAATACAATTTTATTTCGCAAAATTGTTTTTTCGATTAATAAGGTTCAATTTCTAAATTTTTTCCCAAACATTAATTTTTAGGAATAAATTTAAATTTCCTAAAAAAATTTAAAAAAAAAAAAAAAAAATTTTTTAAAATTTTCTTGTTTGAACCAAAAAATACAACGAGAGTTTTATTTAAAATTATGGGAAATAATTTCTAATAGAATTTTTTAAAAATATAATTCAATTTTTTTTTCCTTTTTATTTGGACCAAAAAATAAAATTAGATTTTCATTTCAAATTATTGGAAATAATTTCTAAGAGAATTTTTTAAACATAAAATTTAATTTTGAAATATTTGTTGCCTATTTATTTTTATTGATTTTGGAGTCAAATAGAAACAAGTAAATTTCTAAATATTTTTTCGAATGAACTTCAATTTTTAACAATAAATTTAAGTTTCCCAAAAAATTCAATTTCCTTTTGTTAATATTTGAACCAAAAAAATCCAGAGTTGAATTTTAAATTATGGAAATTAATTTCTACAAGAATTTTTAAAAAATAAAATTCAATTCCTCTTTTATTTTTTTTTTTTATTTAAACCAAACAATTAGAGTTGAATTTTAAATTATGGAAATTAATTTCTATAAAGAATTTTTAAAAAATAAAATCTAATTTCTCTTTTATTCTTTTTATTTGAACAAAAAAATACAACTAGAGTTGAATTTTAAATTATGGAAATTAATTTCTAAAAGAATTTATTAAAAATCAAATTTAATTTTTCTTTTTTTTTTCTTTTTATTTGAACCAAAAAATACAACTAGAGTTTAATTCGAAATTATAAGAATTAATTTTTGAAAGAATTTTTTAAAAATAAAATTTAATTTCTAAATATTTGTCTCCTAATTATTTTTATTGATTTTTCGGGGCAGATAGAAACAAGCAAATTTTTAAATTTTGTTTTAGTAAACCCAAAAAAATATATTTAGAGTTAAATTTAAAATTATAGAAAATTATTACTTTCTTTCTCAAGAAAAGAATTTTTCTAAAATTTCTATCTTCTGTTGAATTAAATCTTTTGCCAATAAATTTAAAAATCCCTAATGAAAAGTTCGACTTTTGAAACTGATGAATACGTTTTTTTCATTCATAAGTAGCTTTGCAGAAGTCTTCAAATTTTTTTTTCAATAAAGAATAAAAAATATTTATCCTATTGTGAAAAATTTGAAGAGTCAAGGAATTTTTCTAAGTATAAAAATTCTTAATAAAAATAAAAAAAGTCGTTTTTAAATGTAAATAAATATTGCCCTAAACTTTGTTTCTTATTTAATTATTTTTTATAATAAAAAATTTTGTAGAATAAAACATAATAATAATTACAGAACTTATAATAAAAAATGATTAACCTAATTAATTAATTCTCAAATATTTAAATTTTCAATTGGATTTATCATGATGTGTAATTAAATTTCTAGTACACGTCAAAAGTCGAAAGTTACCTTCCTAATTTAATAATGATAAATAATTACAGCAATTCTGTTAGCTATGTAAATTTATAATTTTACAAACAGTTTATTAAATATTCTAACTTTGCCGAGTCACTAATTAAAGAAAAATGTTTCTTGCATTTAATAATTAAGGATTTTAATTCAATTTAATTAATTAATTAATTAATTTAATTATAATTTTATAACTAAGGGATTTTTCAAATATAATCAAACCTGGAATATAATTCGTATATCTCTCATAAAACAACATTTTATTTCATTAAAGCAATTATTCTATTTTATTTTCTCCGATTTATATTTTCAAGCATTTGTGAAAACTAACGTACGCTAAATAAATAATGTTTCTATAAATAAACAAGAATTATAAATAATTTATGAACAATTTTTTTTCATTTTATTATTTATGAGCAGGAAAACAGTAACAAAATAAAATAAATTTTCTATTTCTTCTCTCCAAAAATATATCCTGTTTGTGAATTAATGAAATATTTATAAAATGACATATATATATATATATATATATATATATATATATATATATATATATATATATATATATATATATATATATATATATATATATATATATATATATATATATATATATATATATATATATATATATATATATATATATATATATATATATATATATATATATATATATATATATATATATATATATATATATATATATTTGTGATTGGTGATCGAAAATTGAAAAGTGAAAGTAATATTTCATCTCGTTGAATAGAGAAAGTAAATATACATGCCGGCATCAATTTATCACAGTTGGTTTCGTTTAAATTGAGTTGAATGTTGCACGTACAATTTTTTCGCATTTCACTATTTTTTTTCTCTCTTTCTCTCTCGATAATATAGAAAATTTGCATGAAACTATAGATTTTTAAATTATTTTCGTGTGACAACAATTTTTTTTTTAATAAATATTCCAATTTTCAATATTATTCTCACGAAAAATAATTTTTCTCTCTTTTGAGTTTATTTTTTATTGGCAGAAAAATATTAACACAAAAAATTGTTGATATGAAATATAAGTTTAGGTGAATTTTTAATATTTTTATTTTTGATAGATTTGAAAATTTCAATTTACTTTGAGGTCACTTTTTATGAAAAATGTTTTCTAATACTTTTTTAAAACTTTTTTTTAAACTGACTTTTTTACATCATCTTTTTTAAAATCACTTTTAAAAAAGTTCTAACAAGCTTTGATAATGATAATAATAATAAAATAATAATAATAATAATAATAATAATAATAATAATACAAAAATAGTAATAATAATTTAATAATAAAAAATATATAATTTTTTTTCAGTTATCAATGGGCAGCGGGAATACACTTTTTCTGGATTTCCAAATAAAGTTCAATAAAATTTAAAGTCCAGAAATATGCTTCAATTGCGGAAAGAACTGACAATAGTTTCTCGCTATTATCAATTAATGTGCATTTTATTAAAAACCTAAGTGCGTGCTTCAATAAAGAAATTTATAGGATCTAATTGTCAACTAGGAGGAGAATTTTCGGCATGAAGGGTGAGTTAATTTTTTTAAACTCTTCATTCTTCTCTCAACTTTTTTTTTCGACTAATTATTTTGATTATTTCAATCACTTCCAATATCTTATTTTAAAAAAAAGTATTTAAAAATATTTTTCAAATACAAATAAATTATAATTAATTATAATTTAAATTATGATCCTAAAGCTCCGAATGTTCAAATGAACATTAAAATTTATTTATTTCTTCAAATTAATTTTTTATTATTATAATTTTGCGTATCATTATCAAAAAAATTAATTCTAAATTAATAATTCATTTAGTACTTAATAATAATTTTAAGTAAAAAATTTACTTCGAAATGTAAAATTTAATTTTTTTTGCAATGGGTAATTCTTGAAAATATTTTTATAATAAAAAATATTTCGTTCATTTAAATGTTGAAAAATTCCAACATCATTTTAATTATAACATTTTTTTGATAAAGTAGAATAAAAAATATTTCATAAATTGTCTATCATTTTGATTATAACTTTTTTTTTATAAAGAAACTGAATACATTTTGTTTTAGTTTAGGAAAAAGTGTAGAATTTTACTTTAAGCACTCGACACCTTTGGTACTTTATTTGAAATTCAAAAAATTGAGTTTTTAAAAAAAGGATTTTCATGCAAAAATGTTGAGAATTTAAAATTTTCGCATTGCATTCATTTCTCGGCAGCTGTGGTCAAGTTACGTAACTACTGCTTTGCATAAGTTAATTAAACACACCTAGACAAAAACTGAAATTAAAATTTGACTCTCAAACTTTTTATTTTCTTTAAATTTTAAAATCTTCCTTACTTATTATTATGTTAAGATAATTGTATTACAAAAGTTTTCTTAGAATAAAAATCATTATGTTAATACTAAAACCCTTTCATCGTACATTTTTTTTTGTAAAATAGTTTATATTTTATAAACTGGATTTTATAAAAAAAATTTGATTCTAAAATTTTTGACGTTCAAATAGTTAACGATTTTTAATTTTTATTGCAATCAGCATTTTTTGAAAATATTTTTAATGAAAAATATTTCCATTATTTGAACGTTCGAAACATGTTTCAAAACTTCAAAACTCATGAAAAAAATAGTTTTTGCAAAATTGAAATTGTCAAATTGATTTAAAAAACAATTTAATTTAATAATCGAATTTTTGTATTGCATACATTTTTTGAAAGTTTATAAAATAAAGTAAAAAAGAATAAAATAGTTTACTAACTGTATTTTGTAAAAAATTTACCAAATTGATTTTGCAAACTAGAAATTCTCAATTTAATTTTTCAAAATTGAAATTTCCAAAATAGATTTTGCAAAATTGAAAATTACAAAATAGATTTTAGCAAAAATGAAAATTTTCAAATTGATTCCAAATATTTCGAATTTTAAAAACATTTTTTGTAACGAATAAGTTTATACTACATAATAACAGTAAGGGGCCAATTCGAAAATTCGCTTTACGCACAAAACGCGGGGTGTATAAATAAGAAGATAAAAAAAAATTCATTTCCATGAATTGAACGTTCTGTACACGTGGTTGTGAAATTCACACATTTCAGAGTGAATTGCATACAAAAACGTGCCCATGAATATATATTCGTGTTCTAGGTTCGTAAACTCAACTGCTTTTCATGAACAAATCAGACACTATTTCATTCGTGTTTCATATTCAAAAAATAAAACGCGCACGTTCCTTTAAAACAAAAGCAAAATAAAAAAAAATAGAAACAAAAAGCAAGAATTATAAAATAACTTTTAAATTTTTTGAAATACCTGATTTTTTTCCAAATTCTAAAAAATTATTTCCATTAGTAGGATTGTTAACCAACCTGAAACAAAAAAAAACGTAAAATAAATTATTAGCAAATAGCAAATAGTAGTCGAGAAATAAATGTTTATAAATATTTCTTTGAAAAAGAGTAGAAAAAATAAATTTTACACTTTTTCTTATAAAATTTTTTTTATAATTAATTATTATAAATCTTCTCCAAAATTGTAATGTCTCTAAATGTTTTAAAGTTTAAATTATCGAAATTTATTTATTTTATATTTACAAAATAAATAATTTTTATAAATATTTCTCTAGAAAATAAAAATCAAAAAAGTAATTTTCTACTTTTTCTTATGAATGCTTTTTTAAAATTAACGCAGTCAGTAATTCCTGGAAAAAATTACATCGGAAAAACTAATTCCTTTACTTGAACTTATTCAGAATTTTCGAAAATTAAAAAATAAAAATAAAATTCTATTTTTTGAAAGAACACTTAAAGAAACTCAGTAAAAAAAAATTTTTAATTTCGAAAGTAAAAAGAATTTAAAATCAAATATAAATAATTAATAAGATAATATATGAATATTGAAAATAATTAAATTCTAATATTTTTTGAGAGAACGCTTAAAGAAAATTAGTAAAAAAAGAAAATTAAATTAAATTCTATTTTTTGAAAGAACACTTGAAGAAAATTTCAATTTTGAAAAATCAATTTGTCAAATTCTCTACAAAATCCAGTTTGCTAAATTATTTTACAAAAAAATGTTTTTGATGAAATAATTGTATACAATTAAAATATACTATTTTTTTACACAATTTTACAATTTCAATTTTACAAAATCTTTTTCGCAAATTTTAATTTCGAAAAATCAGTTCGATAAATTCTTTACACAATTCAATTAGTAAACTATTTTATTCACTTTTATTTTATTTTATAAACTTTGAAAAAAATGTATAAAATACAAAATTTAGAATATGAAAGTAAATTGTTTTTCAAATTAATTTGACAATTTCAATTTTGCGAAAATTATTTTTGTAAATGATCAACAAGTTTTGAACGTTCAAATGAACGAAATATTTTTCATTAAAAGTATTTCTTTCGATTTCACGGTCAAATAAAAAATATAACGAAATATTTTTTATTAAAAATATTTTTTTCGTTTTGAACATTCAAGTAAACGAAATATTTTTCATTTAAAATAATTTCTAAAATTACTGATTTCAATAAAAGTTAAAAATTTAACATTTATAATCTTTATGTTATAATTAATTAATATTATATGATAAATAAATAAATAAAATAATTAATTTCAATTTTTCTATTTTTTTGAAAAAAACACTTAAAGAGAATTATTAAAAAAAGGCAAAAAATCGAAATTTCAAGAGCAAAGGGAATTTAAACTGAAATATAAAAATAAGATAATTTATGAATATTAAAAATTAAATTAAATTAAATTCTAATATTTTTTGAAAGAACAGTTAAAGAAAATTAGTAAGAAAAAGTTTGAAAAATCGAAATTTCGAGAGCAAAGAGATAATTTAAACTGAAATATAAATAATTAATAAGTTAATATTTGAATGTTAAAAATAAAAAAATAACAGAGTAAACTATGGGAATATTCATAAATACAATAATCAATAATGCACGGGTATAAATTTATTGGCCGCTGTTGCTAATTAATTGAATGATTAACGCTTCAAATGATTGGTACGCGTATACACAACTATAATGCATTAGAGTGTGTATATGTATATAAATATATATAAGTTTGAAGAGAAATGATAAATTATTCCTTTTGGAAAATGAATTGTTATGCTGTGTGAGAGATGGAATATAAGCTCGTCGACGATGACGACGACATAGTATTACTCAACTTTAATCGAGGATGCATTGTTGTTCCTTGAAGATGGAACGTTGACACTCTATTGGATTGTTGCCTGACAGAATATTATGTACGCAAAGTCTGTACATAATATACTTTCATAGAAAAAAGGAAAATAAAAATTTTTTCTCTTCTTATAAGCACAGATGCGACACACACAATATATTCTGATTAATTACTCGATGAATTAAAAACGACATTTTTTGAAAAATAAATATTATTTTTTGAAAAAAAATAAAATCTCCATCGTCTCGAGAAAATTGATTTTAGAAAGTTTTTTTCTAATTTTTAATTAAAATGTGAAAATGTGAAAAAATAATAATAAAAGATTACAATAATTAAAAACTAGTCAATTATAAATTTGTGGGACAGTTAGCCCTTGGAATTTTGAAAATAAAAAACGAAAAAAGGAGTAAATAATAAAAATATTCAAACTAATATATCTATTTGATAAATAACGGAATCTGAGAGATAATTTAAATAGTATTCGCATCACGAGTTTATATTGAAACATTTAATAATACGAATATTTGTATACATGTTTAATGGAATGTATGGAAGTTTAATTGAAATTTTCCCTGAAATCACAAAATAGATGAAAATTTAAGCGTGTGTTTCGAAACATTGGATTTAATATTAATTTTGCATTTCTTATACACGAAAGCAGAAATTGTTGGAATGTTTATATATGTATATATAGATAATAGCGAAAGGTCAAATTTACCCAAGAGAAAATAGCGTCGAAGCTCAGAATATTAAATTTTCCAACGCTAAAGGTGGGGGAGAAACATTTCTTACACAAAGACAAATATGATTAGGCGTCGTGTTCTTGTTATCTAGATAATAAGATTACTTGATGCTCTCTACTTCTTCTTGTGCACACAAGCCACTTGGCTCGTTATTAGTCTCTAATTATGAGAAAAGCCTCATGCTCCAGATTTTGCGAAAACCCTTAACTTTTTTGCGGCCACTTTTTTTCTTCTCTTCTCTTCTTTTTTTCTTACTTCTTCGTATTTTTATTATAATAAAAAAAATTCTTGATTTTTATTCATAATTATTATATAATAATAATAATTTCGTTATTATACAAAAAATATAAATGCTTGTCTGACGAAAACTATTTTTACTACTTAAAGTTTTAAGAAGTTTGCGTTTTTGTCTGACGAAGACTGACGTTTACTACTTTTATGGGAAAAGCATTTTTTCTGATCGAATCTGATTTACTATTTAGAAAAAGGAAAATAATTCCATGTCTGACCAAAACTGATTTTTACTACTTACTATTAGAAAATATTGAGTTTTTATTTTAAAAAAATCTTTCATTTACTAATTATAGGAAAAAAATT